AAAGGGAGTTTGGATTTTGCCTATTAAAGAAATGCAAAATTCCAGGGACTGGACTCAGGCTTCCAGGTGCGAGGAGCCCTTCCTGCTCAGGGGAGGAAACACATCCTTCCCTCCAGGTTCTCTAAGAAGAAAAAAGAGGCATTGGGCTCCACGCCTGCATGACGGCAGCATCTTTGATGCTGGCAAAGTCACTTCAAGGTAGGATTTCTACAACCCCTATGTGAAAAACCGGGGCACAAGCAATGAAGTTCAGCCTCCGTGAGGAAAAGCTACTTTGCAGTTCAAGAGGAGACATCAACTATCCTGTTACACAAAACAAGCTCGAACCCCACATTTCCTAAACACTCAGAGAAAGTTAATGCTGAGCAAATCAGAAACATCCAAAGGAGGATATCTAATATTTAATTCTGATAAGTAAATAGATTAAGCTCAAATACTATAAAACAGATTATCAGGTTACATTTTTTTAAGTCTATCATATGCTGCTGCTTCTGAGACACTCTTCAAAGAAAACCACCAGGCTGAGATCCTCAGCAACACAGTCCCTGCTTGGTGTGTGGGCCTTGGGTCCAGTCACCAGCAGTGAACAAACAAACAAACAAACAAACAATCAAATAGACTGAAAATACTAAAAAAAACAAACTATCACACTGAACCTATAGAAAAAAAAAGATACAGTGGCAATAACATACTAGAAAGTGATATTTCACTTAAAATAGGTTAAGGGTAAAGGCTTCCAAAAGGAAGCGGGCGTCTATAATAATTTACAGTTACACACATTTGTGGCTACGAGTTCCATAAATTTATGAAACACAACAACACAACCTGAAAATATATGGAAAGAAGTTGGAGCTTTTTTTTTTTTTTTAAGCGAGAAAACTGCCTTTCCATGTTGGCTTTAATATGCCAGTCTATGTTTCTACTGACCACCAAGAAAGAAAAAAAAAAAAAGACAGGAAGAACACAGAGCGCTTGATCACCGAGAGCGGCGCCACGGGGACCGCTGTGCGTCACCACACTGGCCGCCCTTGTGCTGGTCCTTCAGGCTGGAAAGCGTCCGTGAGCGGGGCTGTATTGGTGTGCACAGTCCACTAAGCAGCACAGGAAGTGTAACCGTCGGTCACGTGGAACCTTGTATTCTTCAGGTGTAGAATACTGTGCCTGTCATTTTGTGGGCACCCACTGGCTAAAACAAAGACGTTCTGTCCATACGCAGAATGTGAGAACCCAGCTGGTGTTTCGGTGGGAGTCTGAGTATGTCAGGAGTCCCTATCCGAAAAAGGAAAAGCAAGACAAAGTATAACTCTTAAACTCTTTTTTTGTTTGTTTGTTTGTTTGTTTGTTTCTTTGGTTTTTGGAAATAGGGTTTCCCTGTATAGCCTTGAGTGTCCTAGACTCACTTTGTAGACTAGGCTGGCCTCAAACTCACAGAGATCTGCCTGCTGGGATCTGAGTGCTGGGATCACAGGCATGCACAGCCTCGCCCAGCTTCTTAATAAACTCTTAATACAGCAAGTCAATATTTTAATTCTTCTCTCCACCTTATTATTTAGTAGCAGCAACTGTGCAGATTACAGGAATTCATCTCTGGAACAAGAGGTTGTGTCTATAACAGACTCTTAAGACTAACATATAAGGAGGAAAGCATTAAAACTCCCGACCGAGGTCATTTTTCTTCCTCACATCCAAAAGTTTTCTAGGAAGGGTCACGGGCCAACGAGTGTTGTGTAGCTATTTGCTGAAAACATCCTTGTGAAGCAAGAGGGTCATTCTTCTCAGGCTAATAAGTGTAGCAGAAAATGCTAAAGGGATGGCTGCAGCTTGTAACCTCAGCACTTGAGCATCTGAAGCTGTAAAATTGCTGCAAGTTGGAGGCCAGCCTGGGCTACTGCAACATTGACTGAAAAATCCAGAGAGAGAGAGAGAGAGAGAGAGAAAGGGAGAGTAAAAGACATTAGCCCAGGTACGTTCATGTAGAGAAAACAAGGGAAACTCAACCAGAAAACAACAACAAGAAACTAAGCAACAACAACAACAAAAACTTAGGAGGTGACTTTGAGAACTGTTCTTGTGCCCCGTAAGTACTGAATTGCCAATATGATCAGCACACTGGAAGCTAACAGTAAGCTTGGACTAGCTGGATGTCTTTGAGCATGTGTGAACAAGGGATTTCATGCATGCTTCTTAGTACTCTGCTGTAATGGCAGAAGGTAGTGAGGAGAACCAGCTGGGCGTGTGCTCTTTCTTTTGTTTTGCTGTCCACACAACGTTTCCAGTGTTGTCTTCACCTTAGAGGGCAAGCAGGGAATGATGAGGTCAAGGGCAGATTGAGACCTGGATGTGGTTCAGACCCTGGTTGGTGAGCGTGAAACTAACTCTTCCAAAAGTCAGTGACTTCTAGACTTCCAGGATGAGAGGCAGACAGTTTAAACACATGTGGAGACAGACCAACTTTTATTTACAAACTACAGGGAAACAAAAACATTGGAGAGGTGTGAGAAGATTCTATTTGTACCAGAGGTTAAATTTTCAATTTAATAAAGGGGGACATGGGGAGCTGACAAAATTTGAAGGCAGCGTTAAGATGGTGGTCAACAGATGTCAGAGGTTGTCACATCTGCCTTCCCTTTGCTTCCCGCAGCTCTAGGTTTGCAAGTGCACCGCAAGGAAACCTTTCTAAAGGTGTCACCTTCCTCTCAGACCACACAGCTGCCACTTTTGCCTCATGAGAAGCACGAGGTGTAAATACAACCTTCGGCTCCTGCTCCTCCTCTTCTTCCCCTTCCTTTTCCTTCTTCTTGTCACATAAAATGCCAAGCAGACCAGGTTCCAACCAGAAACGGAATTCTGTTTCTCAAGGAACGTCAACGAGAGAGCTCTGTCTATGAAAGAGCTGGCAGAAACAGGGGATTAAGAAGGGTCAAGAAGGTGAGAAGGCCACACCTTTGAGTTGAAAGCGCCAGTTTTATTACTCCAGAGTCCCGTAAGAACCGAGGAGTCTGTCTGCTGAGGGATGCTGGCCCTGGCTAGCCTCGGGTCTGCTGCACTGTTGAAATAAGCAGAAAACAAGCCCTGGGCCGTCCCTCCCATGAGCTGCATTTCCTGTGTCCCGGACCGAGTGCTTCTCATTGCAGGAAACCAACTGGGAACCAGAACTGTAGAGCCTGTGTCAGAGAGCAGCTGGGAAGAACAGAGAAAGTTTGAGCTGATAGCAGCAGAGACAGTGACCATTGCGATCAGGATGTCCGAGTTCATGCAAGGATAATTGTAACTTTGCCAAAAGCAGTATGGAGACATGTTCTGGATAGTGTTTGAAAACCTAAAATGGTCATGTCTGCCTTTGAATTTTATCTTAGGAAAAAAAAAAAAAAAAGTCCTAACTGGAGATGTGCTGAATTTTCATTTTTGAAGGAATAAAAAATTCTCATGGGAAGAAGGAAGCTGTTATCTAGAGAAAGGTCAAGACCAAATGAGGGCTATTTGTTTCTCCAAACACTGTTGGTTATGTAATTACTCTGATGGCAACAACATTTGATGGGAATGGCCTGCACTCCCCCCCCCCCATCCCGTCAGCAGATAAGGTATCACTCACACCTGTTAGCTCTGTTGTGGGGCAAGGCTGATCTATGCGACTCAGTTTCTCAAAAACGTCTCACCCCAGACTTCCGACCCCAAATGTCAGCTATAGACGTGAACTTCATATAAACAAGCAACTTGAAAATCCTTTCATGGTTATTAAAAAGTAGCAAATGAGCGGAGCGTGGTGGCACACACCTTTAATCCCAGAACTTGGAAGGCAGAGGCAGGCGGATCTCTGAGTTCGAGGCCAGCCCGGTCTACAGGATGAGTTTCAGGAGAGCCAAGGCTAGGCAGAGAAACCCTGTCTTGAAAAACAAAACACACAGACAAAATAAGTAGCAAATGTCATTCTCAGATTTTGTTTGGTTTCTGATTTCTCACTCACTTCACATCTTCCCTGCTTTAACTTGGATACAGGGAAGGCAAGACAGAGGAGCACAGCGACTGTCACCTCTGCATCGGCACAGGTGCGAGCCACGCCCTGAGTCCCTCTTCTATTCTTAGCACTGTCTTGGGGCTCCTTGTCAGCTCACAGCCAGCGCCTAGTAAAGCGAAAGCAGTCACTTCCTCCAAAGGAGTATCCAGAGCGTACAGAAGGAGATAGCAAATATCCTAAATGCCTGTGAGCAGCTGCTGGAGGCAGACCTCCCAAAGCTGGAATCCTTAATCTACCCGCTCAGTCTGGAGCCGGAGCGGCAGGCTGGGAGAACGCAGGCGCTCACTGAGCTGTGCCGAGCATGTGAACTCCTAGGGCCATGAGCTCAGGTGTCCTCACTGCCGTCCAAGCTATTTAAAACTTCTGACCAGCAGAGACGGCAGATGCGTGCCACTCGCCGTTCCTCTCCAAAAGAGCAAGGATTAAGTCTTACCGGATTCAGCAATTCAATGTTTTCGTTTTCTACAGCTAATTTATTAGACTATATACACTATGGGTTAAGAAATAGGACACGAAACAAGTATTATACACTAAGATAAAACTCCTGTTAGGGTTCAGGGTTTAGCTTTGGAAAAAAAAAAAAAACCTGAGTGAGGGTCTATTTCTTAAAACTAAGATACCTGGAAATTCCCACTGGTGTTTAGGGAGCAACAACTGTCGCGTGACTCCTAATTATATTCAGACCCGGTTCCCAAGCTCCACATTCTTGAATTACATACAATACACAGAAGTAAACACTCTTCTTCGAGGAGCCCCCAACTCTTTCTAGCGGTGCAGGAACCTGAGGGTGAGCACTCTCTCTTTACTGAACTTGGCTGTTTGGCCATGGGTCGCACAGACCGCCGCCCTGGAATTATTAGAGTCACCAAAGGGACAATGCTGGCTCCTCTCTAAAAGGACCACCATTTCGAACCTCACAAACACATTTGGAAACCTTCCCTTTCCGACCTACCAACAAAAAAGACAACCTCCACATACCGGGAGCTGTGGCTACATTTTTAATCCTCACCAAAGTTACAGCAAACCCATCTCGAAAAAATGAAACATTCCCGGGTGTCACTGCCTTTGACCTTCCTCCTGTGGGGCGAACGGGAACTGAAAAGGTTTCACTTGGTCCCTGCTGGATCCTTCACTTCCACCACCAGGATTCCATCGTGACAGAGGACGGCAGACAAATCTTTGGTTTCGACGCCGGCTGGCAGTTTGTACTGTCTGGTGAAACTCCGCGACACAAAGCCGTGCTCGTCCATCCTGGTCCCGTGCTGCGCCTTGATCAGCAGCCAGCCCTCGAAGGTCTGGATGATGATGTCCTCGGGAAGGAACTGGACCACATCCAGCAGGATCTGGAAGCGGGATTTGCCTTCTCCCGGCGGCGGCAGCTTCTCGGTGGAGGCTGGGTCCTCTGCGGGAGCCCTTGGCGAGCCTCTGGCTTTCCTCAGGTCCTCGACGGCTGGCCCGGGCAGTGCGTACAGAGCGTGATCCAGTCTGCAGTCTTCCAGGCCTCGAGCCTCAAACTCCTCCTGGTAACGCACCGGGGTCTCTATGAGGTGCCTCAGAACGATTTTGGCCATAGCAGAGGCAGCCCCGGCGCTCAGCAGCTTCCCTTCCACGAGTGTGCAGCCCCTGGCGTTGCCTCCCGGCTCGATTTCCAGTCCCAGCAGCTTCCTTTACAATCCTACCCAGACAGCCGCTTAACTGGGCCTGAGTCAGATCAGCACACTCCTGTCTTTTCACACTGACAATGAACGGCTATTTATAGCCCCCTCTCCGAGTTGCATTTAGCTCACAGCCTGCACAGGCGGCCCAGGCAGGGATCGCTCCCTTAGCCTTGGCAGGCCTGCCTCACCCCAATGGACAAAGCAGAAACCGGAAGCAGTGCTTTAAAGGTCTCCATACGTGACCTCCCCGTGAGCCGCGAGCCACCAGCTAGTAGGCCTCTGCCCTTGCCTGAAAAGGCCAAGCAGAGGAAGAAGATGCTAGCTGTGGTTTAAGAGAAATAAAGACACATGTGCCACCAGCAAACAGCCAATATATGTACCTTTCTTATCGTATACCTTTCTTTTTACCCTTTTGTGCTTAAGGGACATCTGATGCACATCAGATTAATCTAGTTGATACCCACCATGCTATCGAATGGGCAAAGGTGCTACGAGTCATTTCTCAACGAAAGCACCCTTTATATTGACCCTCCACTGAAAAAAAGAATGAGGCAGCTGCTACAGAACATCTCCAAGACACGCTATGTAAAAGCAAAGTCTGAGTGCTGGTCCAGTGCCCTCCCAGCAAGGTGCACCTCTACCTCATAGCCCAGCCCTGGCTCACAGGCTACATTCAAGGCTTTGCAGCTCTGCAAACTGACTACCAACGGACTCCACACTTGGCTCTGTCAAAGACAGTCTGACCTTCCTGTTTATGTCATCCTTGTCTTCCTTGAAATTTGACAGAGACCTGTGAGCAGAAAGGAAGAGCCGGGGGTTGTTGATGCGTTCGATCTTAACTATCTTCGGAGTACACGCAGGGTTTTTCTGAGCTTCGCTTCCTGAATTCTCAGCGGAAGCCATCCTACTCTCAGGAAGGCAAAAACTATAATTTTTATGGGGAGAAAGAGAGAAGGAGGAACAGGGATATAGATCTAGGGAGAGATTATATAAAATCCCAGATACTGTATAATTGTACAATGGTTATGGGTCCCTATAGCCATAGGGCACAGAGACGTGTGTGTGTGTGTGTGTGTGTGTGTGTGTGTGTGTGTGTGTCATATATGAGGAAGTGGGAAGAGAACTAGGGTAGAGCGTAACCAAAACCATCCCTAGAGGTGGGGCAAAGGGACAGTAATTAAAAGATGAGACGCACCGTGCAGTCTCCTTTGTTAATTGCTTACCGAGGCTTCCATGGCTCAGCGGCTGATTTGGGAGATGCCAACAGCAATTAGGCTTGGAGTACAGGGAAGTTTTGTACAAAGAGCCATGGAATAGTATATCTGGTGTATGGAAGCCAAAAGAGAGGGTCATGATTACATAAGACAAAGGCCCCTGCACAACTATCATGCAGACTTTAATTCTGCCTTACTACACAGAAATCCTCTGATGGTGGCACTTGCAACCACCTGAATTGATTTCACAACCCCAGATTAATGACAAGTGACAGTTAAAAAAAACACCCACCTGGGATGTCAACGCTCCTGGGCAAGACAGAGACAAAAACTTTCCTGTCTCAGGGTAAATGTAGCTTCTGCATAATTTTGTCTGTAGCTTTGTACGACTCTGAGCAGGTAGAGAACGAAGCAGAATGGTGGCAGGGAGAGGCCTGGCTCAGTCAACTGCTTCAGAGGTGAGGGGATAAAAGAGGAATCAGGCTTAGAGGCAAGAGGCAGTGGCAGGGTAGAGAAAACACACTAGACGTGATATGTCGGGAACGCTGCTTTTAAGTTACAGTTTTAAATAACCTGGGTGAGAAGAAACAGAAAGAACCAGCCAGGGCCTACCATGGGGTTTGTTTCATTTTAATAAGACATCTTTAAGAAAACCAACTATTGGACTGCTTGAAAGAATGGATTGGCAAGAGGTCCTGGTAGACTTTAGTGGGTGGAGTCTGGTCCCTACATGGGCAATAGTTCATTTTCAGATATTTCCTTTAAATCCAGTAGTTTTAGCCTTCCATTCTCAAGTTTCCCATCAGTAAGGTTCTATCCATAATGAAACCCGGTGTCAACGAGGCCTTATGAGAGTTAAGAAAGGGGTCTCATGTACTCTATAGATATGAGCAAAGGGCTCTTCAGACTAGAAAATGATTAAAACAAAACAAAAACTAAATAAACATGAACATATATTTGTGCCTAATGGTATATATAATATGCATAGAGGGGTTTAATTGGTCCATGCTATAGCCCAAAAAGTTTCACTTTAAATAGGAGTTATCACACACACACACACACACACACACACACACACACACACACACACTTTGAGAGGGTTTGAGAGGATGAAGAGAGCCGCTTTCCAGAAGGTCTGGAATAATTACATCATCCTCCCCAATCAAATATAAACATCATTGCTT